AAGTATTTAGTCAGCCACCAATTGTGCAAGTTCTCCCACTTAAAAAGATGAGAGAGGCCTGTAATTTTCATCATAGGTACACGTCAACTATGACAGACAAATTGAGAAAAAAAATTCCAGAAAATCCCATTGTATGATTTTTAATGAATTTATTTGCAAATTATGGTGGAAAATAAGTATTTGGTCACCTACAAACAAGCAAGATTTCTGGCTCTCACAGACCTGTAACTTCTTCTTTAAGAGGCTCCTCTGTCCTCCACTCGTTACCTGTATTAATGGCACCTGTTTGAACTTGTTATCAGTATAAAAGACACCTGTCCACAACCTCAAACAGTCACACTCCAAATTTCACAATGGCCAAGACCAAAGAGCTGTCAAAGGACACCAGAAACTAAATTGTAGACCTGCACCAGGCTGGGAAGACTAAATCTGCAATAGGTAAGCAGCTTGGTTTGAAGAAATCAACTGTGGGAGCAATTATTAGGAAATGGAAGACATACAAGACCACTGATAATCTCCCTCGATCTGGGTTTCCACGTAAGATCTCACCCCGTGGGGTCAAAATGATCACAAGAACGGTGAGCAAAAATCCCAGAACCACACGGGGGGACCTAGTGAATGACCTGCAGAGAGCTGGGACCAAAGTAACAAAGCCAACCATCAGTAACACACTACGCCGCCAGGGACTCAAATCCTGCAATGCGAGACGTGTCCCCCTGCTTAAGCCAGTACATGTCCAGGCCCGTCTGAAGTGCATTTGGATGATCCAGAAGAGGATTGGGAGAATGTCATATGGTCAGATGAAACCAAAATATAACTTTTTGGTAAAAACTCAACTCGTCATGTTTGGAGGACAAAGAATGCTGAGTTGCATCCAAAGAACACCATACCTACTGTGAAGCATGGGGTTGGAAACATCATGCTTTGGGGCTGTTTTTCTGCAAAGGGACCAGGACAACTGATCCGTGTAAAGGAAAGAATGAATGGGGCCATGTATCGTGAGATTTTGAGTGAAACCCTCCTTCCATCAGCAAGGGCATTGAAGATGAAACGTGGCTGAGTCTTTCAGCATGACAATGATCCCAAACACACCGCCCGGGCAACGAAGGAGTGGCTTCGTAAGAAGCATTTCAAGGTCCTGGAGTGGCCTAGCCAGTCTCCAGATCTCAACCCCATAGAAAATCTTTGGAGGGAGTTGAAAGTCTGTGTTGCCCAGCGACAGCCCCAAAACATCACTGCTCTAGAGGAGATCTGCATGGAGGAATGGGCCAAAATACCAGCAACGGTGTGTGAAAACCTTGTGAAGACTTACAGAAAACGTTTGACCTGTGTCATTGCCAACAAACGGTATATAACAAAGTATTGAGAAACTTTTGTTATTGACCAAATACTTATTTTCCACCATCATATGCCAATAAATTCATAAAAAATCCTACAATGTGATTTTCTGGATTTTTTTTTCTCATTTTGTCTGTCATAGTTGACGTGTACCTATGATGAAAATTACAGGCCTCTCTCATCTTTTGAAGTGGGAGAACTTGCACAATTGGTGGCTGACTAAATACTTTTTTTCCCCACTGTATATAGAGGTGAAAGCATTGGAAATGCTTTTGGCGGTTAATCTGCTTCTGTTTTGTGGGTGGCACTGTGTGCTGTTTTCGATGGATGGGTCCTGGCCTCTCGGGGCCTTAGGGATCCGTAGGGACGTGGGTGGGATGCTGATCACTGGGATGACGGCTCAACTTGGGATGGGGAGGGGCTTTAGCGGGGGAATTAGTGGAGAACAATTGAAGGGTTACTCCGTAGCAATGCAAATATCACGGTACAGCTATATGGACACTCAATCATTACGCTATTTTTTTATTGGTAAATTTACAAACATATATAATGATAAATAGACTTGAAACTTGTATCTCATTATGGTGTATGGTGAAATAAGTATAGCCAGTTATAATTGTAATGGCTTAGCTGATAATAACAAAAGAAGAACAATATTTACATGGCTCAAAGAGAAGGAATATAATATCTATTGTATACAGGAAACTCATTCAACAATTCGAGATGAAGTTGCGTGGAAAAAAGAATGGGGGGGGGGAAATATACTTCTCCCATGGGCAAAGAAATTCAAAAGGGGTGATGATATTAATTAATAGTAATTTCGATCCGAATGTGCAAATTGTCCAAATAGATACGCAAGGTAGATGGATTATTTTAAATATGTTATTGGACCATAAACAGATATGGCTCATTAACCTTTACGGACAAAATAATGATGATCCACAATTCTTTGACATTATATATAATAAATTATCAAGCCTGCAAGCAACTCAAGACAATATTATTATGGTGGGGGATTATAATACTGTTTTAAATAGCTCAATGGGCCGTAAAGGAAATCACACCACAAACAATCACCCACATGCTCTTAAGGAAATTGTGAATGTCATGGATACATTAGAACTAGTAGATATATGGAGGCTTAAATATACTGATCTAGTGAGATATACATGGCAGAGACTCAATCAAGCTAGTCGTCTTGACTTCTTTCTTATCTCATTCTCGTTGGCACCAAAAGTAAAAAAAAGTGTTGATAGGGGACAGAATGCGGTCGGACCATCATATAATAGGCATATACATTACTCTTACTGAATTTCCACGTGGGCGAGGATATTGGAAATTTAATCAAAGCCTATTGGATGATAATTTATTTATAATTAGAACAAAGGAATTTATAATGGACTTTTTCCAACATAACATAGGTACAGCGAATCCCCTTATTGTATGGGACACCTTTAAATGTGCCTTTAGAGGCCATGCAATTCAGTACTCATCTCGAAAACAAAAGCAATTTAGGTCAAAAGAGTTTATACTAAGAAAGGAAATAGAAAGTCTAACAGAACAGATAGATGGCAATAAAAACTGTAACATAGAGGCTCAGAATAAATTAGAGGAAAAACAAAAAGAAATGGAGAAACTTATTCAAGAAAGATTAAGTGTAATATATTATAAAAATAAAGCAAACTGGATGGAATATGGGGAAAAATGCACAAAATTCTTTTTTAATCTTCAACATAGGAATGCTACCAAAAATAACTTAATGAAACTGGTTACAATTGACGGAGTCACCCATAATTCACCAAATGATATTTTGAAGGAAGAAACAAAGTACTTTAAACATATGTTTTCTTTTCAGTTGCCTCCATCTCCTCTAACTGAAGCTAATTGTAGAGATTTTTTTCTATTGATAATGTCAAATTAACAGCCACACAGAAAGACTCATGTGAAGGTGAAATTACAGAGGAGGAACTTCTGGATGCAATTAAAGACTTTAAGTCCGGGAAAACTCCAGGGTTGGATGGCATACCAGTCGAGGTATACCAAACCTTTTTTGATATACTAAGAGGACCGTTATTAGCAGGATACAAGTGGAAAATATAAAGAAAGGGGAGTGTATATATATAAAAACAAAACATGGGGGATTGGAAGTGATGCAGACAATTACATTGATAGAAGATACAATCTATCTGCAATATTAAGCTGATCCATCCCCCCCAAAAATGAAAAAAATGAAGAAGAAAAAATGGAAAAAAATAGATAGAAAAAATTAATTAATTAAAAATTTTAGAATAAAAAAAAATACAATACTATACAAGTATAAACACCATGGGACCACGCAGCCGTCATCCCGCTCAGGAAGGAGACACGTTCTGTCTCCTAGAGATTAACGTACTTTGGTGCGAAAAGTGCAAATCAATCCCAGAACAACAGCAAATGACCTTGTGAAGATGCTGGACTAAACAGGTACAAAAGTATCTATATCCACAGTAAAACACGTCCTATATCGACATAACCTGAAAGGCCGCTCAGCAAGGAAGAAGCCACTGCTCCAAAACCGCCATAAAAAAGCCAGACTACGGTTTGCAACTGCACATGGGGACAAAGATCGTACTTTTTGGAGAAATGTCCTCTGGTCTGATGAAACAAAAATAGAACTGTTTGGCCATAATGACCATCGTTATGTTTGGAGGAAAAGGGGGTGGCTTGCAAGCCGAAGAACACCATCCCAACCGTGAAGCACGGGGGTGGCAGCATCATGCTGTGGGGGTGCTTTTCTGCACGAGGGACAGGTGCACTTCACAAAATAGATGGCATCATTAAAAGAGAAAATTATGTGGGTATATTGAAGCAACATCTCAAGACATCAGTCAGGAAGTTAAAGCTTGGTCGCAAATGGGTCTTCCAAATGGACAATGACCCCAAGCATACTTCCTTAGTTGTGGCAAAATGGCTTAAGGACAACAAAGTCAAGGTATTGGAGTGGCCATCACAAAGCCCTGACCTCAATCCTATAGAAACTGTGTGGGCAGAACTGAAAAAGCGTGTGCGAGCAAGGAGGCCTACAAACCTGACTCAGTTACACCAGCTCTGTCGGGACGAATGGGCCAAAATTCACCCAACTTATTGTGGGAAGCTTGTGGAAGGCTACCTGAAATGTTTGACCCAAGTTAAACAATTTAAAGGCAATGCTACCAAATACTAATTGAGTGTATGTAAACTTCTGACCCACTGGGAATGTGATGAAATAAATAAAAGCTTAAATAAATAATTCTCTCTACTATTATTCTGACATTTCACATTCTTAAAATAAAGTGGTGATCCTAACTGACCTAAGACAGGGAAGTTTTACTAGGATTAAATGTCAGGAATTTTGAAAAACTGAGTTTAAATGTATTTGGCTAAGGTGTATGTAAACTTTAGACTTCAACTGTATATCTGGTGGATATAAGTGATATGTAACTAGGCCCCAGATTTTTCCATGGTCAGGACGTTTGTTTAGGAAAAACTCCTTTAAGAGGTGACTGACTCCAAACCTGATGATACATTTTTATAATTCCTTTCATTGACAGTTTACTTGTTATAACATCCTGAATTTATGTTTTGTCTCTTCCTCAGTCTTAAAAGCACTTGGTTCAGTGTCTGCCATCGCCGTCAGCGTGACCATGTACCACCGCTCCCTGCGTTCCTTCCTCCCAGACAAGGCCAAGCAGGGCTGGTGCTCCTCAGTGGTCTTCTTCATGTGGAACCTGCTCCTGATTGGTCCACGCGTGGCAGCAGTCGCCCTCTTCACCTCAGTCTTCCCCTGCTTCATCGCTGCCCACTTCCTGTCTTCCTGGATGGTTCTATTTTTCTTCGTCTTGCGACTGAAGACGGACTTCATGGAGAGCGCCGGCGGAGAATGGCTCTACCGGGCCACCGTAGGTCTCATCTGGTACTTCAGCTGGTTCAACGTGGCGGAGGGGCACACCAGGTGGCAGAGCACCTTCTACCACACCTGGATAGGAGTGGATATTGGGATGCTTTGTGGTCTTTGGGTGTGGCAGATGAGCAAGAACCCTCCATATTTTGAACTGCCCCTAGATCCTTATGTCATCCTTGGCATTATGATCTCACTCTATATAGCTGGGCTCTGTCTTAAGGTGATATACTACAAATTCTGTCACCCAAAGATTACAAAGCTGGGAGAAGTTGAGTATCACCTTGAGCCGAGGTCGGAGGAGGTCCCCACAGATGGGGATGTAGTTGACTCTGGGTTAATGAACCGTAGTAGGGGTCTTACAGAGCCCGTCAGAACCTACTCAGGCCCTCCGGAACCGGCCGTCAGGATCAATAACAGGATGAGGAATTTAGCTGATAACTTCTACTCTTAATCCGGATTATCAGATGCCTCCTACACATTGAGAAGACTGTATGGGCTTGTTCAACATTGTAGCCGACAACCCAGCCAGGCGACTGCCGACTGACTGATCTACAAATCACCTTGCATCATAAATAACTACTCATTATTTGTAGATCAGTCAGTCAGAATTTACCCACAATGAGTAAAGTTTACCCACAATGAGTAAAGGGTCTGTCGGTTTACGATCCATCCGTGTACTTGATTAATTCATCAATCAATTAATTAATCAATGACACTAATTAGTAAGGAACTCCCCTCACCTGTTTGTATATAGGTCTTAATTGAAAGGAAAAAACTAAAACCCAGACACTCGGCCCTCCGTGGAACGAGTTTTACACCCCTGTCCTACTTAAATGAACCATCTCTACAGCTTGACACACTCTGAAATGTTAGCAGGGCGTGCACTCTGTCAGGACTAGATGGTAAAAACCTTCAGGGGATCTCAGAATGTGATTTTAACAGTGCAGTTCTGAGTGAACGTTCCTTGGTCTTTGTGTGTACAGTCGTGGTCAAAAGTTCTGAGAATGACACAAGTATCGGTCTTCACAAAGTTTGCTGCTTCAGTGTTATGAGATATTTTTGTCAGATGTTACTATGGTATACTGAAGTATAATTACAAGCATTCCATAAGTGTCAAAGGATTTTATTGACAATTACATTAAGTTTATGCAAAGAGTCAATATTTGCAGTGTTGACCCTTCTTTTTCAAGACCTCTGCAATACGCCCTGGCATGCTGTCAATTAACTTCTGGGCCACATCCTGACTGATGGCAGCCCATTTTGCTTGGAGTTTGTCAGAATTTGGTTTTTTTTGTTTGTCCACCCGCCTCTTGAGGATCGACCACAAGTTCTCAATGGAATTAAGGTCTGGGGAGTTTCCTGGCCATGGACCCAACATTTCGATGTTTTGTTCCCCAAGCCACTTAGTTAACACTTTTGCCTTATGGCAAGGTGCTCCATCATGCTGGAAAAGGCATTGGTCGTCACCAAACTGTTCTTGGATGGTTGGGAGAAGTTGCTCTTGGAGGATGTGTTGGTACCATTCTTTATTCATGGCTGTGTTCTTAGGCCAAATTGTGAGTGAGCCCACTCCCTTGGCTGAGAAGCAACCCCACACATGAATGGTCTCAAGGATGCTTTACTGTTGGCATGACACAGGACTGATGGTAACGCTCACCTTGTCTTCTCCGGACAAGGTGTTTTCCGGATGCCCCAAACAATCGGAAAGGGGATTCATCAGAGAAAATGACTTTACCTCAGTCCTCAGCAGTCCAATCCCTGTACCTTTTGCAGAATATCAGTCTGTCCCTGATGATTTTCCTGGAGAGAAGTGGCTTCTTTGCTGCCCTTCTTGACACCAGGCCATCCTCCAAAAGTATTCGCCTCACTGTGCGTGCAGATACACTCACATCTGCCTGCTGCCATTCCTGAGCAGCTGAATCAACTTTAGGAGACGGTCCTGGCGCTTGCTGGACTTTCTTGGGCGCCCTGACGCCTTCTTCACAACAATTGAACCTCTCTCCTTGAAGTTCTTGATGATCCGATAATTGGTTGATTTAGGTGCAATCTTACTAGCAGCAATATCCTTGCCTGTGAAGCCCTTTTTGTGCAAAGCAATGATGACGGCACGTGTTTCCTTGCAGGTAACCATGGTTAACAGAGGAAGAACAATGATTTCAAGCACCACCCTCCTTTTAAAGCTTCCAGTTTGTTATTCTAACTCAATCAGCATGACAGAGTGATCTCCAGCCTTGTCCTCGTCAACACTCTCACCTGTGTTAACGAGAGATTCACTGACATGATGGCAGCTGGTCCTTTTGTGGCAGGGCTGAAATGCAGTGGAAATGTTTTTTGGGGATTAAGTTCATTTTCATGGCAAAGAGGGACTTTGCAATTAATCTGATCTCTCTTCATGACACTCTGGAGTATATGCAAATTGCCATCATCAAAACTGAGGCAGCAGACTTTGTGAAAATTAGTATTTGTGTCATTCTCAAAACTTTTGACCACGACTGCAGTGTTCTGGACTGCCTGATTTTCATGTGTGTGATGCGAATGTGATCCTTTTTGTACAGTGATGCCAAAGGCACATTTCCATCACGGATGGACCAAGTTATATTCTTTCTTTCCCAAAGGTACTTTTCCCATACAGCTGCTGGCGAGGTTCTGAAGTCTAAAGTTAGACGACGTACAGTATTTTTGTTTTATTGTTACATTCTGCTGTAAATTATGTATGCATGCACTAAAACACTGACAATGAAACCAGGCACCTTTTCAAAGTACTTTTATTTGTATTTACACTACCATGAGTATTGTTAATGTACACAGGACAACCTTATTGGGCCTTCAACAGTGTTCCGGTCCCATACAGAAAAGTGGGGTGGGAAAACACACGAGTCAGTTATACACCACATGACCAAAAATATGTGGACACCTGCTCGTCGAACATCTCATTCCAAAATCATTAATATGGAGTTAATTAATATGGCCAATGTTTGTCTGTGGAGATTGCATGGCTGTGTGCTCGATTTTATACACCTGTCAGCAACGGGTGTGGCTGGAATAGCAGAATCCACTAATTTGAACGGGTGTCCACATACTTTTGTGTATATATAGTGTAAGTTTCAACGTCTTAATTTGAGCCAGATATATCCCTACAAAAGTACATGATCAAGTTGAGCCAGATGTATCCGTACAAAGCTATGTACCTTCATAGCATTCGACAGTTGAATTATTACAACAGAAAAACTAAACATTTCTACATGACAGTCAACACAGACTGGTCAAAATGCACTTCAACAAACGGTTTGTTAAGAGCATATAAATGGTACATAGTTCTTGGCCTTGAACACAAATCCAAGGGATGCATAAAACAGTCCCCATCCCCGACTAATAAGTAAAAAAAAAAAAAATAATAATCCAGAATCATACTTTTTATTAGCAACAGAGTACTTTAAAACAGAAACCATCACTGATAGAAATAAATGCACTGTAAACACCTTCCATGACAACAAAAAAACTAAATCATACCAACCAAAAAGGGTGAAAAGCAACACTAGAGATGTGATCAGCACAACGATGACAATGTTTTTGGTTGGGGTAGATTGATTTCCATGACGTAAGATATTCAAGATGTAGGTCGGAGGATCAGGATTGGCTGATTTTTTTTTATATTCACATCTCTGACAAAATAAACGTGTGGAAACAGACCGTAATATGAATGTGCAGTCAGTCAATTAAAGACACCGGTCTGTCTGTCAACCTCACAAAATTCCATGTCCAGGACAACCTTTCATTCCAAGGGGATCTAATTCATCATTTTTACAATGCTTACATTCTCTCAACTCCATTAGGTAGAAACATGTACTGTTTCGGACAAACATACTGTAACCTCTACTTTATACATGTGCATGGTTGAGATGTGATTGTCTAAGCAGTGAAAACAAGACAGCGACTCAAAAAAATGCTAAAATAATCAACACTTAAGGTGGTGACAGCAGGGATTAAGTTTTCAACAAGGAGAAGGATGCTCTGACTTAGTGGGCAAAGCTGTGACTCGTTTTCAACAAAGGAGAAGGATGCTCTGACTTAGTGGACAAAGCTGTGACTCGTTTTCAACAAAGGAGCAGGATGCTCTGATTTAGTGGACAAAGCTGTGACTCGTTTTCAACAAAGGAGAAGGATGCTCCGATTTAGTGGACAAAGCTGTGACTCGTTTTCAACAAAGGAGAAGGATGCTCTGACTTAGTGGACAAAGCTGTGACTCGTTTTCAACAAAGGAGAAGGATGCTCTGACTTAGTGGACAAAGCTGTGACTCGTTTTCAACAAAGGAGAAGGATGCTCTGACTTAGTGGGCAAAGCTGTGACTCGTTTTCAACAAAGGAGAAGGATGCTCTGACTTAGTGGACAAAGCTGTGACTCGTTTTCAACAAAGGAGAAGGATGCTCTGACTTAGTGGGCAAAGCTGTGACTCGTTTTCAACAAAGGAGAAGGATGCTCTGACTTAGTGGACAAAGCTGTGACTCGTTTTCAACAAAGGAGAAGGATGCTCTGACTTAGTGGACAAAGCTGTGACTCGTCTTGAGTGTTTCAGCTGTAACATTTATGCGTCTGCAAAACAATCAAAAAAAGAATTACACTAAAAACTGTAAAAGGGAAAATGACATTCACATAGTAACCATTTCCGTGTTACCGACGGTTAAAAATAAAAGTTACCGATTGGTTAAAAATAAAAGGTTTCAGCAGATTAACGACAAGTATAAAAAAGGTAGGCGTAGTAAAATAAAGACGACAACCATGTTTGATCATGCGTTTAACACATCGTAAGCATTTCCTGTAGAGATGACGCATGTATATATAACATTGATGGTTAGAAAGGCACAGTATACATATGCACAGACACTCAAAACAAATACACAAAGAAAACATTCTTAATGATCAAGCTGCAAGTGTGTGTCAAAATGATCATCTCCTTTTAGGCTCAGTATTGTTCAGTCGTATATCTCACATGGACCAGGGATCAATAATATCTACCCTCGAACCACCTCTTGACCAGCTACATGCAGCAACAAAATGTCCCTTGAAATACAGGCTAGTTAGTTAACAGGCATTCCCCCGAGCAGAAATTTATTGCACAGTCATTCCTGGTGTTTTCCAATGTGTATAATGACAAGGGTAGACTGACTACACTGCACACAGACAGTGGCGGTATCTTCTGGGCTGCGGTGCTGCACAATCATTAGCACATTTAGAGGTGATTCCCCAATACACCACCACTATGGTAACCAGCACTATGGTAACCAGCACTATGGTAACCAGCACTATGGTAACCAGCAACATTGGTAACCAGCACTATGGTAACCAGCACTATAAAATAATGGGGTTTTGTCTGACCCTCACGATTCAAATGGAGGAAAATCAACTAGAGATTGATTCTACAACAGAGACCTAGAAACATTTCCATTGATCAATGACAACAGTTGATCTTTGTGATGCAAATATTTCTGTCATGGTTGTGAGGAAATCGGGATCACCTTGGCCAGGCAAACCTCAGGTGACTTCTTGGTCCAACACAATAACAGATAACAATTCCACTGTATCTAACATAACGTGATTGCATTGTGCGATTTGCTATTCCCTTCCAGCCAACTGCTTTTAAATGCTCATTGTCAAGTTAAGTCTCTTTGCAGGAATTCAAGGACACGTACGGCTGTGCTCTGAGGAACAAGTTATCCCAAGGAGAGGTTTCTTCTAAAGGTTATGTATACATGTACACACGTTCACATCAGCATCATGCTGAAGAAGATGCACATTGTTTTCGAAGGCCCATCCTTGGCTTCTTAAATTAAATTGATAGAAAGGCCTGGTTTGGCTCGTCTTACGCTGAACTACACAGCAACCTGGCGTCCTTAATATCATGCAGTGGAATACAGGTTAGTTAGGGTCTTCATTGAGTCCTTCTGACCACACATCAGTTTGTTATGTAAAAAGACCACAGAAGTCCGTTAGACTGTTGAAGTCTGTGACACAGCGGAGAGGTCAGGACAGCGGAGGTCTCTATGGAGAACACGTCAGTACCGTTAGTGAACTAGTGGAAAGGTAACATCCAGAAGGTCATTCCTAAGTAGCCGGTGTTTGTCTGTCTGTCAGTGTCTGTCGGTCGGTGTCTGTCGACCAAGTTTCCCTTTGTGTCTAACCTGTGTCGGTCTGTCGGTTGGTCTGTCTCTGTGTCAGTCTGTCGGTCGGTCTGTGTCTGTTGGTCGGTCTGTGTCTGTTGGTCGGTTGGTGTCTGTTGGTCGGTTGGTGTCTGTTGGTCGGTCTGTGTCTGTGTGTCGGTCGGTCTGTGTCTGTTGGTCGGTCTGTGTCTGTTGGTCGGTTGGTGTCTGTTGGTCGGTCTGTGTCTGTGTGTCGGTCGGTCTGTGTCTGTTGGTCGGTCTGTGTCTGTTGGTCGGTTGGTGTCTGTGGACCAAGTTTCCCTTTGTGTCTAACCTCCACTCCTTCCGCTCTACAGGAAGTCTAGTTCCAGGGCTTGATGGAGGGACACCAGGTCCCCGTGGGTGGTGATGCGCCAGAAAGGCATGTTGTGCTGCAAAGACCGAGCAGGGAGACGTCATGAGAAACCACCAGAGTCAAATCAATACTCCAAGACTTATTTACTGCAGTGCTGAGTGTAAGTGGTGAATAGCAGAAGTACTTGGGCCCCGATTCCGACCCGAATTAAATCGCGCATAAATGGAACGTAATTCCTTTTTTATGCACTTTTCTCTCTAAGCGTATTCTGACCTGGAACTTAAGCATCAGAATAGGATGCTATTCACCCACTATTCCTTCAGGGTGGAGATCTAATACATGAAGGTGTGGCGGAGGCGTGTCTACAGATACACAGTATTCTGACCTGGAACTTCATTCCATTATAATTCCACCACCTTCATGCACGAGGAAACCATGAATAAGGTCGAGCGAACCTGCCGCTTCCGAGTGGAAAAAGCATCGACTTTATTTTATATAGGCTATAAATAGCTGTGTCGTTACTCAGAATTTGAATTGTGTGCCCTCATAATTTGCGTGGATTAAATTTGGACACCCAAGCTATAGGCCTCTATAGGGCTGAACCTGCATTACAATGTTTTTAATTATGCCCGGGCTTTTCTCCGTTTTTATTTTACCATTTGTATCATGTTAAATATTAGCCACTATAAGGAGCCACCGTCAGTAATACCCACATATATTTATAACTGTCACTTTAGTATTAGTTTTAAATTTGTAGTTTACATTTTTTTGCGTCATTTCCATTCCGTGTACCTTTCCTTCCTCTGTCACGTCTGTGTAGTTGTTACTGAGGGTCGCTTGCATTAGTGGATCATATTAGGCTAATGTTGTGCAATAATAATGGGACATGTAGCCTATTTGAATCGTTATGGAACTCGGACCACATGTATCAGTTTAAACCTGGAGCCTGGTTCATGATGACTGGACCGTTGTCAGAACAGTTCCACGATAAGCGAGAATTAGGGTCGATTTATAGGATTATTGTTCTACAATAAATCCACCTTCCAGTAGTTCATGGATTGAATCAAACCACTATTTTTAATTCATCAATATATTTTGTGCGTCAAGGCTCTCCAAACCAGTTTGTTTTATGATTCATACATACTTTCAAACCCTGAAATTTGCCTAAATAATCTACAAGATCAGAGTGTTTTTAAATCTACCAGTTGGTGCTGAAACAGAGACCAAGATGCATAGATGTCTTTCTTTCATTGATCCCTGTAGGTGCACCGTTTTTTAAAGGGATGGCTTAAGATAATTGTACTGAAAACCCTATTGAATGAAAACTCCACGAGAAAATCTGTTGGCCAGCAAGTGGGATGGTTTTCAGCGGTCGATTTTACATTTATTCATCGCGCGCAAGGGGAACCACACCTGCAAAGCCTGATACGCGCCTTCATAAGGTAAGTCTGAATACCAACTACTGAGAAGTGCGTGGAAAAGGCATGCGTAAGCAAGGCCTAATTTCCTTAAGTCAGAATCGGGGCCTTGGTGAACAGCAGAAGTACTTGACATACTGTATGCAACACCGAATAATTACTCCCGGCTGTTTGGTTCAGTCTTAATAACTTGCCAAAATGCTTTGATCGTACGTGCAACCCTAAAAGTGTTTCCCAAATGCACATACTGCACTAAGCCTACCTGTTTGGCTGCCAATTCCTCGTCACGGCTGTCTCCTATCACCACATAGGTCACATTCTTCCCAAAGCGAGACACGATGCGCTCAAAGCAGCTCTCTTTCCCTACGGAAAGACCACAGGAAAAGCAACTCTGGAGTTAATCAATTTCATCCAACTTCGATCAAATACAAATCTTTCAAATTTTGGCAAGGAGGTCCTTTATCTACTTCCCCAGAGTCAGATGAACTTGTCGATACCATCTTTTATGTGTCTCTGTGTCCAGTACGAAGGAAGTTAGAGGTAGTTTTGCGAGCCAATGCTAATTAGTGTTAGCGCAATGACTGGAAGTCTATGGTATCAGCTAGCGTGCTAGTAGATAAAGGGCCACATTGCCAAAATCCCAAAGCATCCCTTTAAACCCAAAAGCTAAGTAAAACACATGTTGAGGTCAGTGTGTGCCGTGCGTGCGTGGTGTGAGTGGTTTGGTTTACCGATCTTGGTGGCACTATAGATGTTCTCTATGGGGAAGACGTCCCCCAGACCATAGAGCAACACCTTGGCCAGAGCAGGTACGAGTTGGGTGGTCGTCACCAGGACATTCATACACTTACCCCTGTGGACACCCACACGGACACGTGAGAAGAGAGCAAGGACACCAAAAAAAACTCCACTACTATATACACACACGGTCTGACCTAAATAAAACCATCTAGTTAAAAACTGTAAGATGAGAATACACTCTCTAAATGTCCAACTCACTGTGCTGACCTGGACTGGATGAGCAGCAAGGATTTGAGTGCCGTGCTGAGCCAGGCGTCTGTCATATTCTCCATCTCAGACTGCAGCTGGAGGAGAATCTCCCTCTTCATGGGACTCAGCAGGCCTGGAGGAGAGAGGTTAGAGGTTAGAGGTTAGAGGTGTTACTACCACAGCAGGCCTGGAGGAGAGAGGTTAGAGGTTAGAGGTGTTACTACCACAGCAGGCCTGGAGGAGAGAGGTTAGAGGTTAGAGGTGTTACTACCACAGCAGGCCTGGAGGAGAGAGGTTAGAGGTTAGAGGTGTTACTACCACAGCAGGCCTGGAGGAGAGAGGTTAGAGGTTAGAGGTTAGAGGTGTTACTACCACAGCAGGCCTGGAGGACAGAGGTTAGAGGTGTTACTACCACAGCAGGCCTGGAGGAGAGAGGTTAGAGGTGTTACTACCACAGCAGGCCTGGAGGAGAGAGGTTAGAGGTGTTACTACCACAGCAGGCCTGGAGGAGAGAGGTTAGAGGTTAGAGGTGTTGGTACCACAGCAGGCCTGGAGGAGAGAGGTTAGAGTTGAGGTGTTATACCACAGCAGCGGAGGAGAGGTTGAGGTTAGAGGTGTTACTACCACAGCAGGCCTGGAGGAGAGAGGTTAGAGGTTAGAGGTGTTACTACCACAGCAGGCCTGGAGGAGAGAGGTTAGAGGTTAGAGGTTAGAGGTGTTACTACCACAGCAGGCCTGGAGGAAGAGGTTAGAGTTAGGTGTTACTACCACAGCAGGCCTGGAGGAGAGTTAGAGGTTAGAGGTGTTACTACCACAGCAGGCCTGGAGGAGAGAGGTTAGAGGTTAGAGGTGTTACTACCACAGCAGGCCTGGAGGAGAGAGGTTAGAGGTTAGAGGTGTTACTACCACAGCAGGCCTGGAGGAGAGAGGTTAGAGGTTAGAGGTGTTACTACCACAGCAGGCCTGGAGGAGAGAGGTTAGAGGGTTAGAGGTGTTACTACCCACAGCAGGCCTGGAGGAGAGAGGTTAGAGGTTAGAGGTGTTACTACCACAGCAGGCCTGGAGGAGAGAGTTAGAGGTTAGAGGTGTTACTACCACAGCAGGCCTGGAGGAGAGAGGTTAGAGGTGGGTTTACTACCACAGCAGGCCTGGAGGAGAGAGTAGAGGTTAGAGGTGTTACTACCACAGCAGGCCTGGAGGAGAGAGGTTAGAGGTTAGAGGTGTTACTACCACAGCAGGCCTGGAGGCAGAGGTTAGGGTGTTACTACCACAGCAGGCCTGGAGGACGAGGTTAGAGGTGTTACTACCACAGCAGGCCTGGAGGAGAGGGTTAGAGGTTAGAGGTGTTACTACCACAGCAGGCCTGGAGGAGAGAGGTTAGGGTTAGAGGTGTTACTACCACAGCAGGCCTGGAGGAGAGAGGTTAGAGGTTAGAGGTGTTGTACCACAGCAGGCCTGGAGGAGAGAGGTTAGAGGTTAGAGGTGTACTACCACAGCAGGCCTGGAGGAGAGAGGTTAGAGGTTAGAGGGTGTTACTACCACAGCAGGCCTGGGAAGAGGTTAGAGGTTAGAGTGTTATACCACAGCGGCTGTGGAGAGAGGTTAGAGGTGTTACTACCACAGGCAGGCCTGGAGGACAGAGGTTAGAGGTTAGAGGTGTTTACTACCACAGCAGGCCTGGAGGAGAGAGGTTAGAGGTTAGAGGTGTTACTACCACAGCAGGCCTGGAGGAGAGAGGTTAGAGTTAGAGGTGTTACTACCACAGCAGGCCTGGAGGAGAGAGGTTAGAGGTTAGAGGTGTTACTACCACAGCAGGCCTGGAGGACAGAGGTTAGTTAGAGGTTAGAGGTGTTACTACCACAGCAGGCCTGGAGGAGAGAGGTTAGAGGTTAGAGGTGTTACTACCACAGCAGGCCTGGAGGAAGAGGTTAGAGGTTAGAGGTTAGAGGTGTACTACCACAGCAGGCCTGAGTGAGAGGGTAGAGGTTAGAGGTGTTACTACCACAGCAGGCCTGGAGGAGAGAGGTTAGAGGTAGAGGTGTTACTACCACAGCAGGCCTGGAGGAGTTAGAGGTTAGAGTGTTACTACCACAGCAGCCTGGAGGAGAGAGTTAGAGGTTAGAGGTGTTACTAACCCACAGCAGGCCTGGAGGAGAGAGGTTAGAGGTTAGAGGTGTTACTACCACAGCAGGCCTGGAGGAGAGAGTTAGAGGTTAGAGGTGTACTACCACAGCAGGCCTGGAGGAGAGAGGTTAAGGTTAGAGGTGTTACTACCACAGCAGGCCTGGAGGAGGAGGTTAGAGGTTAGAGGTGTTACTACCAACAGCAGGCCTGGAGGAGAGAGGTTAAGGTTAGAGGTGTACTACCACAGCAGGCCTGGAGGAGAGAGGGTTAGAGGTTAGAGGTGTACTACCACAGCAGGCCTGGAGGAGAGAGGTTAGAGGTTAGAGGTGTTACTACCACAGCAGGCCTGGAGGAGAGAGGTTAGAGGTTAGAGGTTGTTACTACCACAGCAGGCCTGGAGAGAAGAGGTTAAGGTTGAGGTGTTACTACCACAGCAGGCCTGGAGGAGAGAGTTAGAGGTTAGAGGTGTTACTACCACAGCAGGCCTGGAGGAGAGAGGTTAGAGGTTAGAGGTGTTACTACCACAGCAGGCCTGGAGGAAGAGGTTAGAGGTTAGAGGTGTTACTACCACAGCAGGCCTGGAGGAGAGAGGTTAGAGGTTAGGTGTTACTACCACAGCAGGCCTGGAGGAGAGGTTAGAGTTAGAGGTGTTACTACCACAGCAGGCCTGGAGGAAGAGGTTAGAGGTTAGAGGTGTTACTACCACAGCAGGCCTGGAGAGAGTAGAGGTTAGAGGTTTACTCCAAGCAGGCCTGGAGGAGAGGTTAGAGTTAAGGTGTACTACCACAGCAGGCCTGGAGGACAGAGGTTAGAGGTTAGAGGTGTTACTACCACAGCAGGCCTGGAGGAGAGAGGTGAGGTGTTATACCACAGCGGCCTGGAGAAGGTTAGAGGTTAGAGGTGTTACTACCACAGCAGGCCTGGAGGTTAGAGGTTAGGGTTAGAGGTGTTACTACCACAGCAGGCCTGGAGGAGAGAGGTTAGAGGTTAGAGGTGTTACTACCACAGCAGGCCTGGAGGACCGAGGTTAGGGTTAGGAGGTGTTACTACCACCAGCAGGCCTGGAGGAGAGAGGTGGAGAGGTTAGAGGTGTTACTCCAACAGCAGGCCTGGAGGAGAGAGGGTTAGAGGTGTTGCCTACCAACCAGCAGGCCGGGGTTAGAGGTTAGAGGTGTTACTACCACAGCAGGCCTGGAAGGGGAGAGAGGTTAGAGGTTAGAGGTGTTACTCCAACAGCAGGCCTGGAGGACAGAGGTAGAGGTTAGAGGTGTTACTACCACAGCATGCCTGGAGGAGAGAGGTTAGAGGTCTAGAGGTGGTTACTACCCCAGCAGGCCTGGGGAGAGAGGTTGAGGTTAGGTAGAGTGTTACTACCACAGCAGGCCTGGAGGAGAGGAAGGTTAGAGGTTAGAGGTGTTACTTACCACAGCAAGGCCTGGAGGAAGAGGTTAGAGGTTAGAGGTGTTACTACCACAGCAGGCCTGGAGGAGAGAGAGGTTAGAGGTGTTACTACCACAGCAGGCCTGGAGGAGAAGAGGTTAGAGGTTAGAGGTGTTACTACCACAGCAGGCCTGGAGGAGAGAGGTTAGAGGTTAGAGGTGTTACTACCACAGCAGGCCTGGAGGTAGAGGGTTAGAGGTTAGAGTGTTACTACCACAGCAGCCTGGAGGAAGAGGTTAGAGGTTACGAGGTCTAACTACCACAGCAGGCCTGGAGACAGTTAGCCGTAGGTGTATTCCGACAGCCAGGCCTGAGCAAAGTTAGGTTGATTCGTACTACCATCAGCCTGGACAATTTTTTTTAGAAAGGTATGACACCACAGCAACGGCCTGGAGAAAGTTGGAGTAGAATGCTTACTACCACGCAGCCTCAGGAGAGGTTTAGACTTGACGTCTAGAGGATGCACTTACCACAGCCGTGATTCGTCATATGGTTTGGTTTAGAGTGTCCCACGCAGGCACTGTAGGAGGCGTTGAGTGTAAGTGACTTAGGACCACACAGGCCGGAGCGCAAAGTGGTAGGGACACCACAGTTCACAGGAACGGGTACCGAGGTTGAGTGCTAACAGCAGCGGAAAAGTTAGAGTTGTTCCCATGCAACTGGAGGTAAGGTTACGATGTTTCCACAGCATGCCTGGAAGAGAGTCAGCAGGTTAAAGGTGTTACTCCGGGAGCTCTGGAAGATGGGTTTCCAGGCAGAGGTGACTCCACACAGCCTGAGAGAGGTTACGAGTAGAGTATACCAAGCAGGCTGAGACGGAGTTAGAGGTAAGCGGTGTCATGACTCGAGCAGTGAGGAAAGTTTCTGGTAGAGTGTATCCACGCCATCTGGAGCCGAGGAAAGTCTGGGTTTGTAAGATGCCAGAGAGAGGAGAGTGTACTCCCCACACTGAAATAGTGCCCAACTGGAAAGTTGGGTGAGGAGGAATAAGCAGGCTGGCGCAACGCAGAGTGGCCTGGATACAGACCCTTAGCCGTTTAGGGTTGGACACCCCTTCAAATTAGTGGATTCTGCTATTTCAGCCACCATTTTTTAAATAAAAAATAGTAATCGAGACACCCAAGCCATGCAATTCGCCATGGACAAAAATTGGGCAGTAGAATGGCCTTACTGAAGAGCTCGGTGACTTTCATCAACAACTGGCCCCCAGTCATAGGATGCCACCTTGCCAACAAGTCAGTTCGTCATATTTCTGACCTTCTAGAGCTGCCCCGGTCAACTGTAAGTGCTGTTATTGTAAAGTGGAAACGTCTAGGAACAACAACGGCTCAGCCGCAAAGTGGTAGGACACACAAGTTCACAGAACGGGACCGCCGAGTGCTGAAGCGCGTAAAAATTGTCTGTCCTCAGTTGCAACACTCAATACCGAGTTCCAAACTGCCTCTGGAAGCAACATCAGCACATTAAATGCTGTTCGTCGGGAGCTTCATGAAATGGGTTTCCATGGCCAAGCAGCTGCACACAAGCCTAAGATCACCATACGCAATGCCAAGCGTCAGCTGGAGTGGGGTAAAGCTCGCCTCCATTGGACTCTGGAGCAGTGGAAACACGTTCTCTGGAGTGATGAATCGCACTTTGCCATCTGGCAGTCCGACGGACATATCTGGGTTTGGTAGATGCCAGGAGAATGCTACCTGCCCCAATGCATAGTGCCAACTGTAAAGTTTGGTGGAGGAGGAATAATGGTCTGGGGCTGTTTTTCATGGTTCGGGCTAGGCCCCTTAGTTCCAGTGAAGGGAAATCTTAATGCTACAGCATACAATTACATTCTAGATTATTCTGTGCTTCCAACTTTGTGGCAACAGTTTGAGGAAGGCCCTTCCCTGTTTCAGCATGAGAATGCCCCTGTGCACAAAGCGAGGTCCATACAAAAATGATTTGTTGAAATCGGTGTGGAAGAACTTGACTGGCCTGCACAGAGCCCTGACCTCAACCCCATCGAACACCTTTGGGATGAATTGGAACGCCGACTGCAAGCCAGGCCTAATCACCCAACATCAGTGCCCGACCTCACTAATGCTCTTGTGGCTGAATGGAAGCAAGTCCCCGTAGCAATGTTCCAACATCTAGTGGAAAGCCTTCCCAGAAGAGTGGAGGCTGTTATAGCAGCAAAGGGGGGACCAACTCCATATTAATGCCCATGATTTTGGAATGAGATGTTCGAAAAGCAGGTGTCCACATACTTTTGGTCATGTAGTGTATATTGGCCATATACCACAAACCCCTGAGGTAACTTACTGCTATTCTAAATTGGTTACCAACGTAATTAGAACAGTACAAATAAATGTTTTCAGCCAATCAGAATTCAGGGCTTGAACCACCCATTCTATAATTGTTTTTACCACCCTGGGTCCTGGTCGGTCCCTGGATGGGAGACCAGATGCTGCTGGAAGTGGTGTTGAAGGGCCAGTTGGATGCACTCTTTATCAACCCATGGAGGTCTGGATTTGGAGTCACCCTCAAAATTAAAAAGTGGAAAACCACACTACAGGGTGATCCAACTTTGATGTAATGTCCTTAAAACAAGTCAAAATGAGGCTCAGTAGTGTGTGTGGCCTCCACGTGCCTGTATGATCTCCCTACAACGCCTGGGCATGCTCCTGATGAGGTGGCGGATGGTCTCCTGAGGGATCTCCTCCCAGACCTGGACTAAAGCATCCGCCAACTCCTGGACAGTCTGTGGTGCAACGTGGCGTTGGTGGATGGAGCGAGACATGATGTCCCAGATGTGCTCAATTGGATTCAGGTCTGGGGAACGGGCGGGCCAGTCCATAGCATCAATGCCTTCCTCTTGCAGGAACTGCTGACACACTCCAGCCACATGAGGTCTAGCATTGTCTTGCATTAGGAGGAACCCAGGGCCAACCGCACCAGCATATGGTCTCACAAGGGGTCTGAGGATCTCATCTCGGTGCCTAATGGCAGTCAGGCTACCTCTGGCGAGCACATGGAGGGCTGTGCGGCCCCCCAAAGAAATGCCACCCCACACCATGACTGACCCACCGCCAAACCGGTCATGCTGGAGGCTCAGCTGCGAAGTGGTAGGCCACACAAGCTCACAGAACGGGAACGCCGAGTGCTGAAGCGCGTAAAAATCGTCTGTCCTCAGATGCAACACTCACTACCGAGTTGCAGGCAGCAGAACGTTCTCCACGGCGTCTCCAGACTCTGTCACGTCTGTCACGTGCTCAGTGTGAACCTGCTTTCATCTGTGAAGAGCACAGGGCGCCAGTGGCGAATTTGCCAATCTTGGTGTTCTCTGGCAAATGCCAAACGTCCTGGACGGTGTTGGGCTGTAAGCACAACCCCCACCTGTGGACGTTGGGCCCTCATACCACCCTCATGGAGTCTGTTTCTGACCGTTTGAGCAGACACATGCACATTTGTGGCCTGCTGGAGGTCATTTTGCAGGGCTCTGGCAGTGCTCCTCCTGCTCCTCCTTGCACAAAGGCGGAGGTAGCAGTCCTGCTGCTGGGTTGTTGCCCTCCTACGGCCTCTTCCACGTCTCCTGATGTACTGGCCTGTCTCCTGGTAGCGCCTCCATGCTCTGGACACTACGCTGACAGACACAGCAAACCTTCTTGCCACAGCTCGCATTGATGTGCCATCCTGGATGAGCTGCACTACCTGAGCCACTTGTGTGGGTTGTAGACTCCATCTCATGCTACCACTAGAGTGAAAGCACCGCCAGCATTCAAAAGTGACCAAAACATCAGCCAGGAAGCATAGGAACTGAGAAGTGGTCTGTGGTCACCACCTGCAAAACCAGTCCTTTATTGGGGGTGTCTTGCTACCTGTTGTCTATTCCATTTGCACAACAGCATGTGAAATGTATTGTCAATCAGTGTTGCTTCCTAAGTGGACAGTTTGATTTCACAGAAGTGTGATTGACTTGGAGTTACATTGTGTTGTTTAAGTGTTCCCTTTATTTTTTTGAGCAGTGTATATATATCCCCCAATTCCCCAGGGCAGTGATTGGGGACATTGCCCTGTGTAAGGTGCCGTCTTTCGGATGGGACAGATGAGTCTCTGTGGTCACTAAAGATCCCATGGTGTTAACCCTGGTGTCCTGGCTAAATTCCCAATCTCATACCATCATGGCCACCTAATCATCCCCAGCTTCCAATTGGCTCATTCATCCCCCCTCCTCTCCCCTGTAACTATTCCCCAGGTCGTTGCTGTAAATGAGAATGTGCTCTCAGTCAACTTACCTGGTAAAAAAAATAATAATAATCAGGATTTGACTACTAGAAAACTGTCTGGATAGATTGTAGATTCCAGTATGGAACTAATTCAAGAATGTTATTCCTTCACCAACAAGAATACTCTTCTAGGAAATATGATGGCAGGCAAAAGCATGTGCAGTTTTTAATTAAGACACATTTCTGCTAACTGTAACATTAAATAGTCCAGGTAGATAACATTGCAGCATATAATGTAAGTGAGATGTGACATCGTGCATAGTTCCTGCAAGTCCCTAGGGTGTAGAATTTGAAACAAATACAGTTGACGCATCTTCACTCCTAGTTCCTTTGGTGTATGTTAGATCTCCAGGGCGGCGGTACGGAAGGCCTAGTTTCTCATTCAACATGGTTTGTGCCCTCCACCACTGGGCTTGACCATCGCCAGGAAATGTAGGCGCTGAGGGGAATAAAGAGAGAGAGAGGTGAGATGTTTGCTAATTGGGAAAGAGCATGAAGAGAGATTCTAGTAGGAGTAGAAAAGACATGTGGCTAGTTAGAGAGAAGATTGTGGGACTGTTGGAGAGGCAAGCGATGTGGCTAGTTAGGAGAGAGAGAGATGTGGCTAAGTTGAAGCGAGAACCATGTGCCCTGTTAGGAGGGAGAGATTGGCTGAAGTTGTAGGAGATGAGAGGAGGAATTAGAGAGAGAGAGAGATGTGGCTAGTTAGGAGAGAGAGATATGTTTTGTATGTGGCTAGTAAGGAAAGTAGGGACTCCTGTGTTTGCTTGTGGACATAAAAGCATTATTCAATTCGACTATCATCATAATACAGAGAGGTTTGTATGTGACCACTGAACAAAGGAGGGTATCTGAATGTCTTGGTTGGTTACAGTAGCATCACAGACATACCTCAGATCCTGTCCGTTGTCGTCAGAGGCTACGTCTTCAACATGGACCTGATCACACTCCTAAGAATAGAAAAGGAAGGGGGGTGTCAACCCGTTAGTCGAAAATGGTCTCCATTCAATCCAACATGCTCTCATTGACACAGTCCTTAACTCGCACCAACAACGGCTAATCTAACGGCAACAGCTTTAGAACTTCATTCGAAGTGTACAGTCGCCTAGTTGCCACGTGCTTAGCCTCTTCTGACCGTTAGCTCGTTGAGAAAGACAGTGAGTAGTCAGGGACTGCAGCTACCTCCAGGTCATTGAAGAAGAGATGTGTGTCTGCAAGCTCAAAGATCAGCTCCTCCATCTGAAGACCCAGGTTCAGCACAGTGCCCGAGTCCTACACAACCCCAACAGGACAGGACAGAGGTTTATACTCATAGCAATAGAAATCTGATCGCATATCAATAGAGAAATTCATCTCTATTATAACAGATGTCGGTACAGAGGCTGGGGTCCTGCACAGCCCCAAATACAGAGGAGATACGGAGGTTAGCGTCAACGGAAAGCCATCTGATCATCTTTAATCTACAAATAAAATCTTAATATACTGCCTTGAATAACATGATGGCTCAAAATATATCCAGTATGATTTTGACCTACCTTGCCAAACTTCTGAGAGAAGGACCCAGTGAGCAGAGAGTGGAAAATGATGATGGTTTCATCCAGATCCCATAGAAAGATTCGCTGAAAGAGAGGAGAGAGGACAAATTAGTAAGTAACTAAGGAATTAAGGCATTAATCAGAAATTATTTTCATGATTCCACGATCTTATTAAATAACATTCATATATGAAACAAGAACAACACATTTTAGTCGAGCAGAGACCTAAAGAGAATCACCTGAGTAGCTGATTAATGTGTTAGTCTGTACAGTGGCTTGCGAAAGTATTCACCCCCCTTGGCATTTTTCCTATTTTGTTGCCTTACAACCTGGAATTAAAATGGATTTTTGAGGGGTTTATGTCATTTGATTTACACAACATGCCTACCACTTTGAAGATGCAATTTTTTTTTTTTTTGGGGGGGGGGTGAAACAAACAAGAAATAAGACAAAGAACAGAAAACTTGAGTGTGCATAACTATTCACCCCCCCAAAGTCAATACTTTGTAGAGCCACCTTTTGCAGCAATTACAGCTGCAAGTCTCTTGGGGTATGTCTCTATAAGTTTGGCACATCTAGCCACTGGGATTTTTGCCCATTCTTCAAGGTAAAACTGCTCCAGCTCCTTCCAAGTTGGATGGGTTCCGCTGGTGTACAGCAATCTTTAAGTCATACCACATATTCTCAATTGGATTGAGGTCTGGGCTTTGACTAGGCCATTCCAAGACATTTAAATGTTTCCCCTTAAACCACTCAAGTGTTGCTTTAGCAGTATGCTTAGGGTCACTGTCCTGCTGGAAGGTGAACCTTCATCCCAGTCTCCAATCTCTGGAAGACTAAAACAGGTTTCCCTCAAGAACTTCCCATCCATCATTCCTTCAATTCTGACCAGTTTCCCAGTCCCTACCGATGAAAAACATCCCCACAGCATGATGCTGCCACCACCATGCTTTACTGTGGGGATGGTGTTCTCGGGGTGATGAGAGGTGTTGGGTTTGCGCCAGACATAGCGTTTTCCTTGATGGCCAAAAAGCTCAATTTTAGTCTCATCTGACCAGAGTACCTTCTTCCATATGTTTGGGGAGTCTCCCACATGCCTTTTGGCGAACACCAAACGTGTTTGCTTATTTTTTTCTTTCAGCAATGGCTTTTTTTCTGGCCAATCTTCCATAAAGCCCAGCTGTGTGGCGTGTACGGCTTTAAAGTGGTCCTATGGACAGATACTCCAATCTCCGCTGTGGAGCTTTGCAGCTCCTTCAGGGTTATCTTTGGTCTCTTTGTTGCCTCTCTGATTAATGCCCTCCTTGCCTGGTCCATGAGTTTTGGTGGGCGGCCCTCTCTTGGCAGGTTTGTTGTGGTGCCATATTCTTTCAATTTTTTAATAATGGATTTAATGGTGCTCCGTGGGAAGTTCAAAGTTTCAGATATTTTTTTTTATAACCCAACCCTGATATGTACTTCTCCACAACTTTGTCCCTGACCTGTTTGGAGAGCTCCTTGGTCTTCATGGTGCCGCTTGCTTGGTGGTACCCCTTGCTTAGTGGTGTTGCAGACTCTGGGGCCTTTCAGAACAGGTGTATATATACTGAGATCATGTGACAGATCATGTGACACTTAGATTGCACACAGGTGGACTTTATTTAACTAATTATGTGACTTCTGAAGGTAATTGGTTGCACCAGATCTTATTTAGGGGCTTCATAGCAAAGGGGGTGAATACATATGCACGCACCACTTTTCCATTATTTATTTTTTTGAATTTTTTGAAAGAAGTAATTTTTTTCATTTCACTTCACCAATTTGGACTATTTTGTGTATGTCCATTACATGAAATCCAAATAAAAATCAATTTAAATTACAGGTTGTAATGCAACAAAATTGGAAAAACGCCAAGGGGGATGAATACTTTTGCAAGGCACTGTAGCTATATGAATGACTGGTTGTATATCTGTGTTCATGTGGGCCTTATAGTTACCTCCAGGTCAGCGTCAGTAGGCTGGTTGCTGTCTGATTTCTTGGCCTTTCCCCTTGGCCTTCCCAGCAGGGTTCCTCCTCCCCGCCTCATCCTGGTCCAGGGCCCCCATGGGGAGGGCCACACCTGTAGGCAGGGCAACCGGGAGGTTCTCACTTGAGCACGCATCTGAGGTAGAGGGCACAGACATGTTGAAGACTGACAGTTGACACACTGCACACATAAAGACATTACATCCTCCATGTTTCTGAAATTTGAACACCTCAGCCAAAATGGCCTAACAAGCCCATAATCAAGGCAATGTAGATAACACAAAACAATGGTTTTTAACTTCTTACTTGATCCCACAGTGCTATCCATCCAGGTATACGTCCACATGGAATGAATATGGGACTGACATTCATACAGTAAGACAGACTGACACCTATAATGGGAGGTATCAGAAGTACCTGCATGGTCCTAAGGTAAAGTAGCTAGTAGCTATGGTAACTGGTACCACAGGTAGCTAGTAGCTATGGTAACTGGTACCACAGGTAGCTAGTAGCTATGGTAACTGGTACCACAGGTAGCTAGTAGCTATGGTAACTGGTACCACAGGTAGCTAGTAGCTATGGTAACTGGTACCACAGGTAGCTAGTAGCTATGGTAACTGGTACCACAGGTAGCTAGTAGCTATGGTAACTGGTACCACAGGTAGCTAGTAGCTATGGTAACTGGTACCACAGGTAACTAGTAGCTATGGTAACTGGTACCACAGGTAGCTAGTAGCTATGGTAACTGGTACCACAGGTAGCTAGTAGCTATTGTAACTGGCACCACATGTAGCTAGTAGCTATGGTAACTGGTACCACAGGTAGCTAGTAGCTATGATAACTGCTTAGCACAGGTAACTAGTAGCTATAATAACTGCTTAACACAGGTAACTAGTAGCTATGGTAACTGGTACCACAGGTAGCTAGTAGCTATGGTAACTGGTACCAACGGTAACTAGTAGCTATGGTAACTGGTACCACAGGTAGCTAGTAGCTATGGTAACTGGTACCACAGGTAGCTAGTAGCTATGGTAACTGGTACCAACGGTAACCAAACCAGTCAGGTTTCAAGACTGGTCATTCAACTGAGACTGCTCTTCTCTGTGTCACGGAGGCTCTCCGCACTGCTAAAGCTAACTCTCTCTCCTCTGCTCTTGTCCTTCTAGACCTGTCTGCTGCCTTTGATACTGTGAACCATCAGATCCTCCTCTCCACCCACTACGAGTTGGGCATCTCCGGTGCGGCTCACTCTTGGATTGCGTCCTACCTGACCGGTCGCTCCTACCAAGTGGCGTGGCGAGAAGCTGTCTCCGCACCACGTGCTCTCACCACTGGTGTCCCCCAGGGCTCAGTTCTAGGCCCTCTCCTATTCTCGCTATACACCAAGTCACTTGGCTCTGTCCTATCCTCACATGGCCTCTCCTATCATTGCTACGCTGACGACACACAACTAATCTTCTCCTTTCCCCCTTCTGATAACCAGGTGGCGAATCGCATCTCTGCATGTCTGGCAGACATATCAGTATGGATGACGGATCACCACCTCAAGCTGAACCTTGGCAAGACGGAGCTGCTCTTCCTCCCGGGGAAGGACTGCCTGTTCCATGATCTCGCCATCACGGTTGACAACTCCGTTGTGTCCTCCTCCCAGAGTGCGAAGAGCCTTGGCGTGACCCTGGACAACACCCTGTCGTTCTCCGCTAACATCAAGGCGGTGACCCGATCCTGTAGGTTCATGCTCTACAACATTCGGAGAGTACGACCCTGCCTTACACAGGAAGCGGCACAGGTCCTAATCCAGGCACTTGTCATCTCCCGTCTGGATTACTGCAACTCGCTGTTGGCTGGGCTCCCTGCCTGTGCCATTAAACCCCTACAAACTCATCCAGAATGCCGCAGCCCGTCTGGTGTTCAACCTTCCCAAGTTCTCTCACGTCACCCCCCGCTCCTCCGCACACTCCACTGGCTTCCAGTTGAAGCTCGCATCTGCTACAAGACCATGGTGCTTGCCTACGGAGCTGTGAGGGGAACGGCACCTCCGTACCTTCAGGCTCTGATCAGTCCCTACACCCAAACGAGGGCATTGCGTTCATCCACCTCTGGCCTGCTGGCCCCCCTACCTCTGCGGAAGCACAGTTCCCGCTCAGCCCAGTCAAAACTGTTCGCTGCTCTGGCACCCCAATGGTGGAACAAGCTCCCTCACGACGCCAGGACAGCGGAGTCACTCACCACCTTCTGGAGACACTTGAAACCTCACCTCTTTAAGGAATACCTGGGATAGGATAAAGTAATCCTTCTACCCCCCCCCAAAAAAAAAAAAACATACTGTAAAGTGGTTATCCCACTGGCTATAAGGTGAATGCACCAATTTGTAAGACGCTCTGGATAAGAGTGTCTGCTAAATGACGTAAATGTAAATGTAGTAGCTATGATAACTGCTTAGCACAGGTAACTAGTAGCTATGATAACTGCTTAGCACAAGTAGCTAGTAGCTATGATAACTGCTTAGCACAGGTAACTAGTAGCTATGGTAACTGGTACCACAGGTAACTAGTAGCTATGGTAACTGGTACCACAGGTAACTAGTAGCTATTGTAACTGGTACCACAGGTAACTAGTAGCTATTGTAACTGGTACAACAGGTAACTAGTAGCTATGGTAACTCGTACAACAGGTAACTAGTAGCTATTGTTATGAGGAACGGCTGAAGTACCTGTAGTGCTGGTGAGTCCAGCCGAGGCACTGCCCTCTGTCTTTATGGCTGGATACCCGCCAACACCCACACTGGATCCATTCTCTTCGCCATTGGGCAGCCCGGCGGGCACGTAGCTAAGGGGCGGGGCGGTGTACTGAGGTAACTGGGTCTGGCCCAGAGAATTGACGTTATAGCTGCTGAACCCCTGCAGCAGGACAGACATACAGAGACGAGACATGAAGATCAATGCGTCCCAAATGAGAAGCCTATTCCCTATACACTGACTGTACAAAACATTAAGAACACCTGCTTTTTCCATGAAATAGACTGACAAGGTGAAAGCTATGATCCATTATTGATGTCACTTGTTAAATCCACTTCAAATCAGTGTAGATGAAGGGAAGGAGACAGGTTAAAGGAGGACTTATAAGCCTTGAGATATGGATTGTGTATGTGTGCCATTCAGAGGGTGAATGGACAAGACAAACTATTTAAGTGCCTTTGAAAAGGGTATGGTAGTAGGTGCCAGGCGCACCAGTTTGTGTCAAGAACTGCAACCCTGCTGGGTTTTTTCACGCTCAACTGTTTCCCGTGTGTATCAAGAATGGTCCACCACCCAAACTGTGGGAAGCATTGGAGTCAACGTGGGCCAGCATCCCTGTGGAACGCTTTCGACACCTTGTAGAGTCCATGCCCCCGACGAATTGAGGCTGTTCTGAGGGCAAAAGGGGGTGGTACTACAGGGCTCTGGTCAAAAGTAGTGCACTATGTAGGGAATAGGCTGCCATTTGGGATGCAGATCTACTCCATTAGACATCCTCCATACGTAACAGCGTAGTGACTTCACCACGCACCGCACGGAAGGCTCTGTATAGAGATTTTTGTGCATGCCTTAGATAGTTCACTTCACATAGGCTCCAGTGACATTTTGCTGTAATTTCCCTGTTCCAGGCCAGCCGGCCAGTCCTTACCTGGTGAGCCACCGTAGCGGTTGTAGAGGGGATGCTAGTGAACACGCTGGGTGTAGTGAAACTGGAGCCTGGCGGACAAAAACTAGACACGTCAAAACATTGGAAAAACACCGACTGGAATCAATACTTCAACTCATTCTGACAATTCAATGAATAGATCCTTCACTCCAGGGTCCGCAGTAGCATCAGTAATGAAAAGTGCAAGAACACATCTGTTTAAATTATAGCCCCCCTGATAGTCTTGTCCAGTAAACTTCCTGGTTCACACTATGGGACCGATCGGAACCGGAATGTGCTGGCTCTGATAGTCTTTTCCAGCACGGCGGTGAGATAGATGGCTTGCCTTGGCTGGGGTATGAGCAGTGCACATGGTCTGGGCCTGGCTGGGTTGAGGTATATGCAGATCTGAAGCTGAGAAACCCAGGCTGGCCAACAGAGGGCGCTGCATCAGGTAGCCTCGTCTCTGACTTAATACCTGGCCACATAGCACCTGAGGGAGGGCAGGAGGTAGGGAGGGAGGGGAGGGAGGGAGGGAGGGAGGGAGGGAGGGAGGGAGGGGAGGGGAGGGAGGGAAGGAGGTAGGGAGGGAGGGGAGGTAGGGAGGGAGGGAGGGAGGGAGGGGGAGGGAGGGGAGGAGGGGCGGAGGGAGGGGGAGGGAGGGAGGGAGGGAGGGAGGGAGGGAGGGAGGGACGGGCAGGAGGGAGGGAGGGAGGGAGGAGGGAGGGAGGGGAGGGAGGGAGGGGAGGGAGGGAGGGAGGGGAGGGGAGGGAGGGAGGGGGGGGAGGGAGGGGGGAGGGAGGGAGGGAGGGAGGGAGGGAGGGAGGGGAGGGGAGGGAGGGAGGGAAGGGCAGGGAGGGAGGGAGGGAGGGCCGGGAGGGGTTGAGGGCAGTGAGGGAGGGAGGGAGGGGGAGGGGGAGGAGGGAGGGAGGGAGGGAGGGAGGGAGGGAGGGGAGGGAGGGAGGGAGGGAGGGAGGGAGGGAGGGAGGGAGGGAGGGGAGGGGGAGGGAGGGAGGGAGGGGAGGGGAGGGAGGGGAGGAGGGAGGGAGGGAGGGAGGGAGGGAGGGGAGGGAGGGGGAGGGAGGGAGGGCAGGAGGGAGGGAGTGAGGGAGCGAACAAAAGGAGGTGGAACGGGAAAGAAGAAGAGAGATGTAGAGAAGGAAACAAGTTAGAAATAAAAACGTTTCAGTCAAGTAAGTTATTTGTTGCATGACGTAGCTGTTTAGCTTTCAGTGTAATAAACAAACCGAAGCGTAGTGTTGGGTTATTGTGCAGGGGAGGTTAGGAGACTCAGGGGTGAAGTTTCCCCTAGATACAGATCTAGGGTCAGCTTCCCAAATCCCAACCTTAACCATTAGTGGGGAAAATGCAACAAGATAAGTGTCTAGAGGCAACTTCACTCTACACCACAGATGGGCATCTTTGATGGGGGTGGGGGCCACAAACAAATCTGAACTGCGAGCAAAAAAATGTAGCGGCTGCCCCCCTTGACAGCGGAGAAAAAAAAAAAAAAAGACTTTTAGAGTTAATTTCCTGCAATTCTACACATTTTGCAATGGGGCGGAGATGAAATGTTTGCAGTTTGTAATATGATATTCGAGTGAGAGTGACTCACTGGCTAGACTAACTTACAAATCAAAACATTTTTAGCTGACAAGGGCTAATTGAGTGTGTCAGTGACTGACATAAGATGCACAACCATGTAATCGAAATTGGACCTTGTGTATTCTACTATTCTAACTCTCAGCAGTAAGTTGAGACCCGACTGAGCCCCATTGCCCATTCCTGCTTTACACCATGTTAGAAGAAGACTTTGGACTGACCAAATGGTGGGAGGCCGTAGGTCTGTCCTGCTTGGGGGAAGGCGGTGTAGACAGTGGCCTGGGTCTGTCCTGCTTGGGGGAAGGCGGTGTAGACTGTGGGCTGGGTCTGTCCTGCCTGGGGGAAGGCGGTGTAGACAGTGGGCTGGGTCTGTCCTGCCTGGGGGAAGGCGGTGTAGACTGTGGCCTGGGTCTGTCCTGCCTGGGGGAAGGCGGTGTAGACTGTGGGCTGGGTCTGAGGAGGAAAGGCACCCTGGCTGGTGGTGTAGGATGTGACTGCTGGTCTGTGGGACACATAGGAACCGTAAGACATACTGGAGTAGGGTTTGTAAAATTCTGGAAACTTTCCAAAACGTTTTCTAGAAATTCCGGTTGAAGGTTTCACAGATCTCCTGCTTAGTCCTTCCTGAATCTTCCAACAGGGATCTTTGGAAAAACTTTGACATTTTGGGAAAGTTACTAGTATTTTGCAACCCTATACTTAAGTTCTACCCAATAGCATGCGAAGGAGAACTGGGCCAGCATTTATCAAGAGTCTCAGTGGAGGAGTGCTGATTTAAGATTAGTTTAGCCTTTTTGCTTACATTGTATCAGATTATTATGGACAGGGTGGACCTGATCCTAGATAAGCACTCCTACTCTGAAACTCTTGATAAATATGGGTCCTGAACAGCTATGCTCAATAAAAGGTCTCTACAGACTTTCAACAGTCTTATGTTAGCATTTATACAGTAGAACTAGAAATCATCGTAACACTGATTACTTCTGGCTGCACAATGCATTTCCCTGCGGGAACAATCATGTTTTAATTGAATTGAACAGGCATGCAAGTCCCAACATACAAGTAACCCAGTGTTTCCCAATCCTGGTCCTGGGGACCCAAAGGGGTGCGCATTTTGGTTTTTGTCCTAGCACTAACACACTTGATTCAACAAATCAACTCATCATCACACCTTTTCAGGTGTGTTAGTGCTAGGCTTGAAACAAATGTGTGCTTCCATTTGGCTCCGCAGGACCAGGAAACACTGAATAACCTATCAGAGCAGAGGATACTCACCTGCTTCCTTGGTAGATGTGGGAGTTATAGTCAGAAGCTGTTGTGGTGGTGAGCACTCTGCAGGCCACTGCTGGAAAGAAAGAACAATGGTAGCTTAGCTTCAGCTTATTTTATTTTATCAAAACATGGTCTCATTATGACAAATTAAAAGGGTGTGTAGACCCAAGGAGTGTGGTGCTCGTATCGGTGTGTGTGTGTCTAGGGTGTGGTGCTCGTATCGGTGTGTGTGTGTCAAGGGTGTGGTGCTCGTATCGGTGTGTGTGTGTCAAGTGTGTGGTGCTCGTATCGGTGTGTGTGTGTCTAGGGTGTGGTGCTCGTATCGGTGTGTGTGTGTGGTCGTCTAGGGTGTGGTGCTCGTATCGGGTGTGGTTGTCTAGGGTGTGGTGCTCGTATCGGTGTGTGGGTGTGGTTGTCAAGGGTGTGGTGCTCGTATCGGTGTGTGTGTGTGGTTGTCTAGGGTGTGGTGCTCGTATCGGTGTGTGTGTGTTGGTTGTCTAGGGTGTGGTGCTCGTATCGGTGTGTGTGTCTAGGGTGTGGTGCTCGTATCGGTTTGTGTGTGTGTGTGTGTCTGTGTGTGGGGTGTGGTGCTCGTATCGTATGTGTGTGTTTAGGGTGTGGTGCTCGTTTTGGTGTGTGTGTATGTGTGTAGGGTGTGGTGCTCGTATTGGTGTGTGTGTAGGGTGTGGTGCTCGTATCGGTGTGTGTGTGTTTAGGGTGTGGTGCTCGTATCGGTATGTGTTGTTTAGGGTGTGGTGCTCGTATCGGTGTGTGTGTGTGTGTGGTAGGGTGTGGTGCTCGTATCGGTGTTTGTGTGTGTAGGGTGTGGTGCTCGTATCGGTGTGTGTGTGGGGTGTGGTGCTCATATCGGTGTGTGTGTGTAGGGTGTGGTGCTCGTATTAGTGTGTGTGTGTGTTTAGGGTGTGGTGCTCGTATCGGTGTGGTGTGTGTAGGTGTGGTGCTCGTATCAGTGTGTGGGGTGTGGTGCTCGTATCGGTGGGGTGTTGTAGGGTGTGGTGCTCATATCAGTGTGGTGTGTGTAGGGTGTGGTGCTCGTATCGGGTGTGGTGTGGTGTAGGGTGTGGTGCTCGTATCAGTGTGTGTGTGTGTGTGTAGGGTGTGGTGCTCGTATCAGTGTGTGTGTGTGGGGTGTGGTGCTCGTATCGGTGTGTGTGTGTTTAGGGTGTGGTGCTCATATTGGTGTGTGTGTGTGTGTGGTGCTCGTATCAGTGTGTGTGTGTGTGTGTGGGGTGTGGTGCTCGTATCGGTGTGTGTGTGTGTGTGTGTGTAGGGTGTGGTGCTCGTATTGGTGTGTGTGTGTGTAGGGTGTGGTGCTCGTATCGTGTGTGTGTGTGTAGGGTGTGGTGCTTGTATCGGTGTGTGTGTGGGGTGTGGTGCTCATATCGGTGTGTGTGTGTGTGTGTGTGTAGGGTGTGGTGCTCGTATCGGTGTGGTGGTGTGTAGGGTGTGGTGCTCTTATCGGTGTGTGGTGGTGTGTGTGGGGTGTGGTGCTCGTATCGGTGTGTGTGTGTGTGGGGTGTGGTGCTCGTATCGGTGTGTGTGTTTGTGGTGTGTGGTGCTCGTATCGGTGTGTGTAGGAATTATGGACTAGTCACAAGCCCAAGGCCCCACTCCTCCTCTGTCTGAACCAACAGTCAACCATCTGTACCAATGAACCACCACTGATGCCCATTCAATGTTGTCTTTTCAACCGACAGTATAATTCCATCTATTCTTCATTCCCGCACACCCCAATAGATAGACATCTTCTTTTAATACCCACTCACCTCTATCAAGCTGGGCATTAGACAATGTAGAGTATGAATTGTCCTGATCTCCTGAGCCCAAGAGAGTAGGGGGGATCTGGTCATCACCCAATCCCCTAAAAACACACATCGACATCCCATTTACCAAATACCACAGGCCTATTTACTAACCCACAGCACAGTCAGCACCAGAGTATGTGAGTGTCCTTTCCAACCGCTCCGCTAAATACCGCTCCGCACTCACAGGAAGAAAAAAAAAAAAAACTGCAGCTCCAAATTCTCTCCATTCATTAAAATCACAATTTAACTAAACACACATCTATTTTTGTGACTACCTGGACCTACCGTTTGGTTTTGAAGTATTGAAACAAAACCATAGGCCGTGGTGACTCCTTGCTGTCCCCAGTCCGCCTGGCCTTGCTGCTATTCCAGTTTCAACTGTTCTGCCTGCGGTTATGGAAACCCTACCTGTCCCAGACTGCTGTTTCAACTTTAATGATCGGCTATGAAAAGCCAACTGAGATTATTCCTGATTATTATTGACCATGCTTGTCACTTATGAACATTTTGAACATCTTGGCATGGTTCTGTTATAATCTCACCGGCACAGCCAGAAGAGGACTGGCCACCCCTCATAGCCTGGTTCCTCTCTAGGTTTCTTCCTAGGTTTTGGCCTTTCTAGGGAGTTTTTCCTAGCCACCGTGCTTCTACACCTGCATTACTAGCTGTTTGGGGTTTTAGGCTGGGTTTCTGTACAGCACTTCGAGATATTAGCTGATTGTAAGAAGGGCTATATAAAATAAAATTGATTGATTGATTTGATAGGATTTGAATGAAAAGTATTTTAATAAACATGAAAAGCTGAATGTAAGAAGCGCACATCATTTCAAATAGGCTACATGTCATATTAAACAGCATATAAACACACTGAATAGGTCAGGAGCCAGACAGGGAGCCTTAGAAGGAATGAAAATTAATTGTTTAGGGCTGTATTATTTCAAGGCTACAGCCTACAAATAAATACATTGTGAAGCATTAGCGAGTGCGACACACTAGGCTGGTAGGAACCTAAAGCGCTCAGCATTTAAACAACATTTCATTTTATTAAATCATTATAGCCTAGAAATTACTTACTTACTTAGAATTCAATACAAATTAAATGAAATGCCTTATTAGGCTCAGTCTACAGTGTCATTTTTAGAAACCCGAGTTTGTCCAGTCTCTGGCTTCAGGCTCATGCGACCGCGCCTTGAGTCAGGCCAGCAGCGGAGATTCTCCGCGCTTGCAGAGCCACTGGGGATGCTAAACACCCTTTAGGCCACTCTCGCCAGGCTGGGCAGAGATGCAGAGTTGTTATTTTTCTATAGGTAGACCTAAAGGTTTTAAGGCAAAATAACTCAATCAAAACGGAAAGCTCCTTGAACGTGGGAATATGCCAGGCCTATTGGGCCAAAATCAATGATGGCCTGTTGTATAGATAATAGAACAAAAATGAAGGAAACGTTTAAGAGATCAGATTTTTAGTATATAAATACTTTGCTACAATGACACACTTAATTATCTACCCACCTCGTTCCTTTCTTTTAGCATGTGCACGTAGTAATAAGTACCCCATCATGCTTTCAGGATGCGTGTCTTTTCAGATTCCACAGTGATTCTTTAGTTGTGGACACTACATCACCGCACTCCCTGTCTTGCTCTTGGTCCTCATCTTTGTAAGTCACCTTGATTTAGCACCTGTGTGTTTTTATCAGTTTCTTTATGAAAATATTTAGTGAACTCCATGACAGTAGCTAAAGCAAGGGGCTATAGCAGCACACAAGTAGACTACAAAAATGCATGCTGGGCCGGGCCGCGCCCTGAGCTCGTGAAGTGAGCGCTATTGGAAGAAAATTGGAGCGGGGCGAGAAGGCCGACGCTCCAGCCTTTGGGAATCTTGCTCCGCGCTCCAGTCAAATTGGACACGCTCCGCTCCAGCGCCACTCACATACTCTGGTCAGCATTACCTGTGGTAATGAGAGTAAAGTCAAAATGGACCATCAAACTATTCAGCACTGCACTTATTGGTCTAGCCATCCGTATGAGAATCTTTGAAAGGCCATGAACAGCATAACACACCACTAACAGCCACAATACAAAAAAAAAATAAGAAACAATCACTCAAGAATCTTCTAGTGTGTGTGAGTGACAAAGCGGATAGGCCCTCTCAAATGTCTGCTCCTTCGGTCACATTATCACAACATGCATCTTATTCATTCTGAGTGACTTTCCAGGGGAGACGAAATTGGCCATTTTAAAAAGCATTGAAGGTTAGAAAATAAAAGAATTAATACTGACCTTGGCTCTTGGTCCAGTCCAACGTCCAGCACATGTCTGGCCTTCTTGGTCTGTGAAAGTAAGACACATAGGCTACATGACGTTAACTCTTCTTTTAAGTCTCAAAACACAAGTGGCGTTCCACCAATTAGGTGCCTTTTGAGTAGTTAACGCAGGTGATTTCAAGATATATATATATTTCACCTAATTTTAATATTCTGTCAAAGAGCACGTTCAACTTAATAAAAACATGATTTCCCATCTCAAGAGGTTAAATAAAATAAAAACTATAGTAACGGCCTATTAAGTGCCAAATAAACACGGAAGACTAACAGGGTTGACGACTTCATCTTAAATAATCCATAAATCCCTTTGTGACAGGAGGAATGGAAGTTTGTTGTGTGCAACAGGGAGAGGCAATTGAATGCAAGCTTTATAAACATTTTTTTAAATGTTAAAACATTTCTAGCCGGTCTATCTATGGGTAACTGGGCTGACATGTTTTGCTCGACCCGCTCAATTTTCCAACAGAAAATGGCCAAAAAGAGTAGAACCAGCTATTTTACTCTATGATCTGACTATTAGTTTCTGTTCAAAAATATACATTAGATGTTTAATGTTTCTTTAGAGTTTTTTCAAGCAACATTTTCACCATATTAAAACGAGAGTTCAGTTCACCTAACAGGACTGACCTTAAAATGAGGGCCAGTTTTATTTATTTTTACGTTACAATGAATCACTAACCACATTAAATAAATTAGAATTTTCAGAAATGACTGTCAAAGCAACAAAATAACTCAGGGCTTTACAATGATGGTGAAAACATGGAGAAATGGTGGGATTAGGTGGGTTAAAATCTTCCTAGAAGTCACAGAGGGACATGCAGAATTTTGGCACTTCAGCAAGTTTATATTCATATAAGAAATCTGATGTATTATATTTGTCATATTAAAAAGGACACTTAATTTAATGAGGCTTTTAAAAATTCAATTTTGTGCACAATTTCTATTTAAAATATCAAATGGACGCAAAAGGCACTCATTTCGTGGAACGACCCTCAAACGATGACAGTCAGTTGGAGTGTCAACCAGTGGAGGAGTGAATTTCATAAAAATAAAAAAAGTTATCCTTTTTAGATAAAACTATACGAAATATATTCACGTCACCAAATAATTGATTAAAACACAATGTTTTGCAATGAAGGTCTACAGTAGCCTCAACAGCACTCTGTAGGGTAGCACCATGGTGTAGCCGGAGGACAGCTAGCTTCCGTCATCCTCTGGGTACATTGACTTCAATACAAAACCTAGGAGGCTCACGGTTCTCACCCCCTTCCATAGACTTACACAGTAATTATGACAACTTCCAGAGGACATCCTCCAACCTATCAGAGCTCTTGCAGCATGAACTGACATGTTGTCCACCCAATCAAAGGATCAGAAAATGAATCTAGTACTGAAAGCATAAGCTGCAGCTAGCTAGCACTGCAGTGCATAACATGTGGTGAGTAGTTGACTCAAAGAGAAAGACAATAGTTTAACAGTTTGGAACAAATGTATTTATTTACAAATGAAGGAGAAGCAAGAGAGAGAGAGCGAGCTAGCTATATTTCATTGTATTTTTTTCACTTTCACTTTGCTAGCAAATGAAGCTAGCTAGTTTAGCCTACTCAAACACCCGGCTCAAACAGAGAGGGATGCTATGTTAGCTAGCTGGCTATGCCTATCCAACACTTCCAAGTCAATGTAAGCTTTTGGTTTTATTAATTTATTGCCACCTGGGCCCACTGGTGTAACTGCTAAACTGCTTGCTGACTGTACACTGTACTGCACGATTGTAGCGGGTTTACTAACGTGTTAGTTCTAGTTGCTATGTTGACTATGACGTTAGCTAATATGGTGAGAACGATGTAGGCTGGGTGTAGCGTTTAGTGGTTATGATACGAAGGTTTGGCTTGGAAAGGTTTTTTTTCGCCTGGTCACAGACAGCTAATGTGTTGAGCACTGAAGTCCACAAGCGAAGGGAAAAGGTGAGAGGAGGAGAGTGTGTAGATACGAGAAGGAATTATACAATGAGCAAAATTATCATGCTGTTTTCATGTGGCTGCTATGAAAGTGAACTGTGTTTGCGTGTGTTCAGGGGTGTAGTCATTCCGCTGATTCTGTTGAAAAACATTTCTGGAACTGAAGCAAACGGAATGGAGATAAACATAACTGAATTTGTCCAATAGAAACTCTCGTTTCCAACTGTTGGACTAATGATTACACCCTAGATTACAGCTAGATGCAGGCAAGAGTGTGGAAGGCGGTACTGAATGTGTCACTGTCTGTCACCTTGATTACTCCAAATTCTCTCTCTACCTGTGCACCTACATTTTAAGCTTTCATTCATAGGCTAGGTTGTAGAAACCTCATGATGGGTGTAGGAAAAATTGGAGTATCACGCAGTAGCCTAAACCTATGGATATTACATTTAGCTGGGTAAATGGAATATGAATGACAGTCATCCAATATGCTGTAATAGATATGTCATGCTCATAAAAAAAAAAAAATCATCCTCCCTCATTTTAAACGTCACCAACCGCCACTGGTGTAAACAATAGTGTATGTCAAGGTGTGAGGTGACAGTGTGGTAAATGTCAGTGTGAAGTGTGAACTCACCGGCAATTCAGGCAGGTCCTGCGAGTCGTCCATGTCCGCTGAGCCACGTCCTCCTGACATGTCCACTCTCTACGTCTTGGGGAGGCTGTCTGGACGCTGCTTCACACAAACGTATACAGACAGACAAAACACAGTATGCACAGTGTGAGTGGACAGGACCACTGCTTTAAGTAGTCTCCCTTTGACCAGCCACGATCCCTTCCCCCATCCCCCGTGACGCATCTCCGGTGCCCCACGCCCACCTACTATCGTAGGATTTGATCAACAGAGGCGCGATGTCGCCCACCGGGGGGAGGAAGTGGGGCACGGTTGGTCTAATCGCCCGCACGGGAGGGCAGGCGAGACCGGTGAGCCACGTGCAGCACTGACGTTGCACCGTGGCCCCACCACTCCAGTGTTTACAGTTGGATTAAGGGGAGCGTGCCTCCTTACATGTGACTTAGCCTACATTTGGGGAAATGTATTCTCTGCGAATTATATCAGAGGCATTAGGTGTTCAGGTGCAAGCTGTTGTATCAATAGGTGGTCCGCTGGATAAGATCTAACCTCATTTTCAGCCACCAACCTCCCCACGTTAGCCTTCTGTCTGTGGGCCCTGGCAATAGAACACTGATATAACTGGCCATGGAACATTGATACAGTGCATTCAGAAAGTATTCAGACCCCTTCACTTTTTCCCACATTTTGTTATGTTAATGCCTTATTCTAAAATTTATTAAATTATTAAATTACAACTTGATTGGAGTCTACCTGTGGTAAATTCAATTGATTGGACATGATTTGGAAAGGCACACACCTGTCTATATAAGGTCCCACAGTTGACAGTGAAGTTGAAGGAATTGTCCGTAGAGCTCTGAGACAGGATTGTGTCGAGGCACAGATCTGGGGAAGGGTACCAAAACATTGCTGCAGCATTGAAGGTCCCCAAGAACACAGTGGCCTCCATCATTGTTAAATGGAAGAAGTTTGGAACCACCAAGACTCTTCCTAGAGCTGGCCGCCCGGCCAAACTGAGCAATCGGAGGAGAAGGGCCTTGGTCAGGGAGGTGACCAACAACCCGATGGTAACTCTGACAGAGCTCTAGAGTTCATCTGTGGAGATGGGAGAACCTTCCAGAAGGACAACCATCTCTGCAGCACTCCACCAATCAGGCCTTTATGGTAGAGTGGCCAGACGGAAGCCACTCCTCAGTAAAATACACATGACAGCCCGCTTGGAGTTTGCCAAAAGGCACCTAAAGGACTCTCAGACCATGAGAAACAACATTCTCTGGTCTGATGAAACCAACATTGAACTCTTTGGCCTGAATGCCAAGCGTCACGTCTGGAGGAAACCTGGCACCATCCCTACGGTGAAGCATGGTGGTGGCAGCATCAAGCTGTGGGGATGTTTTTCAGCGGCAGGGACTGGGAGACTAGTCAGGATCGAGGGAAAGATGAATGGAGCAAAGTACAGAGAGATCCTTGATGAAAACCTGGTCCAGAGCGCTCAGGACCTCAGACTGGGGGGAAGGTTCACCTTCCAACAGGACAACGACCCTAAGCACACAGCCAAGACAACGCATGAGTGGCTTCAGGACAAGTCTCTGAATGTCTTTGAGTGGCCCAGCCAGAGCCCAGACTTGAACCCGATCGAACATCTCTGGAGAGACCTGAAGATAGCTGTGCAGCGACGCTCCCCATCCAACCTGACAGAGCTTGAGAGGATCTGCAGAGAAGAATGGGAGAAACTCCCCAAATACAGGTGTGCCAAGCTTGTAGCGTAATGCCAAAGAAGACTTGAAGCTGTAATCGCTGCCAAAGGTGCTTCAACAAAGTACTGAGTAAAGGGTCTGAATACTTATGTTAATGTAATATTTCAGTTTTTATTTTTTTATACATTTGCAAAGATTTCTAAAAACCTGTTTTTGATTTGCCATTATGGGGTATTGTGTGTAGATTGATGAGGAAAAAAACAATTTAATCAATTTTAGAATAAGTCTGTAATGTAGCAAAATGTGGAAAAAGTCAAGGGGTCTGAATACTTTCCGAATGCACTGGCCATAGAACATTGACATAACTGTCATATGAAGGAAGAACAAATTAGAAAATAAGCACTAATTTATCAGACACTGACTTGTTAAGGAAACCATGAACAGGATGTCCCATGCCAGCCACCAGAATTATAGGCTAAATCAAAAAACACTTATCAAATCAAATTTTATTGGCCACATGCGCCGAATACAACAGGTGCAGACATTACTGTGAAATGCTTACTTACAGGCCTTAACCAACAGTGCATTTATTTTTTATAAAAAAGTAGAATAAAACAAAAAAGTGTTGAGAAAAAAAGAGCAGAAGTAAAATAAAATAACAGTAGGGAGGCTATATATACAGGGGGGTACCGGTGCAGAGTCAATGTGCGGGGGCACCGGCTAGTTGAGGTAGTTGAAGTAATAAGTACATGTGGGTAGAGTTAAAGTGACTATGCATAAATAATTAACAGAGTAGCAGCAGCGTAAAAAGATGGGGTGGGGGGGGCAGTGCAAATAGTCCGGGTAGCCATGATTAGCTGTTCAGGAGTCTTATGGCTTGGGGGTAGAAGCTGTTGAGAAGTCTTTTGGACCTAGACTTGGCACTCCGGTACCGCTTGCCGTGCGGTAGCAGAGAGAACAGTCTATGACTAGGGTGGCTGGAGTCTTTGACAATTTTGAGGGCCTTCCTCTGACACCGCCTGGTATAGAGGTCCTGGATGGCAGGAAGCTTGGCCCCAGTGATGTACTGGGCCGTACGCACTACCCTCTGTAGTGCCTTGCGGTCGGAGGCCAAGCAGTTGCCATACCAGGCGGTGATGCAACCAGTCAGGATGCTCTCGATGGTGCAGCTGTAGAATTTGAGGATCTGAGGACCCATGCCAAATCTTTTCAGTCTCCTGAGGGGAATAGGCTTTGTCGTGCCCTCTTCACGACTGTCTTGGTGTGTTTGGACCATGATAGTTCGTTGGTGATGTGGACACCAAGGAACTTGAAGCTCTCAACCTGTTCCACTACAGCCCCGTCGATGAGAATGGGGACGTGCTCAGTCCTCTTTTTTTTCCTGTAGTCCACAATCACCTCCTTTGTCTTGGTCACGTTGAGGGAGAGGTTGTTAACCTGGCACCACATGGCCAGGTCTCTGACCTCCTCTCTATAGGCTGTCTCATCGTTGTCGGTGATCAGGCCTACCACTGTTGTGTCGTCGGCAAACTTAATGATGGTGTTGGAGTCGTGCCTGGCCACGCAGTCATGGGTGAACAGGGAGTACAGGAAGGGGACTGAGCACGCACTCCTGAGGGGCCCCCGTGTTGAGGATCAGTGTGGCAGATGTGTTGTTACCTACCCTTACCACCTGGGGGCGGCCCGTCAGGAAGTCCAGGATCCAGTTGCAGAGGGAGGTGTTTAGTCCCAGGATCCTTAGCTTAGTGATGAGCTTTGAGGGCACTATGGTGTTGAATGCTGAGCTGTAGTCAATGAATAGCATTCTCACGTAGGTGTTCCTCTTGTCCAGTTGAGAAAGGGCAGTGTGGAGTGCAATAGAGATTGCATCATCTATGGATCTGTTGGGGCGGTATGCAAATTGGAGTGGGTCTAGGGTTTCTGGGATAATGGTGTTGATGTGAGCCATGACCAGCCTTTCAAAGCACTTCATGGCTACAGACGTCAGCGCTACGGGTCGGTAGTCATTTAGGCAGGTTATCGTAAGAGTCCTTGGGCACGGGGACTATGGTGGTCTGCTTGAAACATGTTGGTATTACAGACTCAGTCAGGGACATGTTGAAAATGTCAGTGAAGACACTTGCCAGTTGGTCAGCACATGCTCGGAGTACACGTCCTGGTAATCCGTCTGGCCCTGCGGCCTTGTGAATGTTGACCTGCTTAAAAGTCTTACTCACATCGGCTACGGAGAGCGTGATCACATAGTCATCCGGAACAGCTGGTGCTCTCATGCATGCTTCAGTGTTGCTTGCCTCGAAGCGAGCAAAGAAGTGGTTTAGCTCGTCTGGAAGTCTTGTGTCACTGGGCAGCTCGCGGTTGTGCTTCCCTTTGTAGTCTGTAATAGTTTTCAAGCCCTGCCACATCCGACGAGCGTCAGAGCCGGTGTAGTACGATTCAATCTTAGTCCTGTATTGACTCTTTGCCTGTTTGATGGTTCGTCGGAGGGCATAGCGGGATTTCTTATAAGCGTCCGGGTTGAGTCCCGCTCCTTGAAAGCGGCAGCTCTACCCTTTAACTCAGTGCGGATGTTTCCTGTAATCCATGGCTTCTGGTTGGGGTATGTACGTACGGTCACTGTGGGGACGACATCATCGATGCACTTATTGATGAAGCCAGTGACTGATGTGGTGTACTCCTCAATGCTATCTGAAGAATCCCGGAACATGTTCCAGTCTATGCTAGCAAAACAGTCCTGTAGCTTAGCATCTGCGTCATCTGACCACTTTTTTATTAACCAAGTCACTGGTGCTTCCTGCTTTAGTTTTTGCTTAAGGGCAAGAATCAGGAGGATAGAGTTATGGTCAGATTTGCCAAATGGAGGGCGAGGGAGAGCTTTGTATGCGTCTCTGTGTGTGGAGTAAAGGTGGTCTAGAGTTTTTTTTCCTCTGGTTGCACATTTCACATGCTGGTAGAAATGAGGTAGAACGGATTTAAGTTTCCCTGCATTAAAGTCCCCGGCCACTAGGAGCGCTGCCTCTGGATGAGCGTTTTCCTGTTGACTTATGGCCTTATACAGCTCATTCAGTGCAATCTTAATGCCAGCATTGGTTTGTGGTGGTAAATAGACAGCTATGAAAAATAGATGAAAACTCTCTTGGTAAAGAGTGTGGTCTACAGCTTATCATAAGGTACTCTACCTCAGGCGAGCAAAACCTCGAGACTTCCTTAGTATTTGATTTTGTGCACCAGCTGTTGTTTACAAATATACACAGACCGCCACTCCTTGTCTTACCGGAGTCAGCCGTTCTATCCTGCCGATGTAGCGTATAGCCCGCTAGTTGTATGTTGTCCATGTCGTCGTTCAGCCACGACTCGGTGAAACATAAG